TGCCACTTTAAAGGATTTTTTTTTTTTTGGAGTCGTAATCTTTTATAATGCATCCGAGCTTTAAAAAAATCCCATAATTTTAAGAAAGAAAAAAACCTCAGTGATATTCAGAATTCGTTCCTAGAACGAAAACCTATTTAGTTCTTTAAGGGTAGCCTTAACGCGGATGGAACAAAAGTAATATAAAAACCATGCGTTTCCACAGTTTATCTTCGATTCTTATTCGAGGCTTTTCTTGAATAAACCTCTAGGTACAGAAATCATAATTTTAAAAACATATTTTATTTAAAGGCGATATTAACGTTAGATCCTGAGAGTGCTTATTTTTTTAAAGAGAGACAGAGAGACTAAAGCGAAGATATTTTTAATATCCGAACATCACCTTGCCAAGGCATTGCTGAATGAAATCCCTCTCCTTAAATGTACTATGGAGATCTATTAAAATGAAACTAGAGATTAGACAATTAAGGCGAAGCTTATGAATTTCCTGGACGCTCTCCAGTGACCAGGCACGTTCCGTTTTTCTGGGTTTCTGTTTTATTTTTTTCCCCCCACTCCAGTGCGCACTCTTGGTCAGAATCTGAAGAAAGAAAGGGCTTCGCTGCTTTCTGCTTATTTGCAGAATTCATCGAAATCTGTTACACGTTGGCTCAGCCATATTCCGCATTTTTTAAAGCCGCGTCTCTCGTGGAAACATTTGTTGGCACTTTGTCTGCTGGGTTGTTGGGGTTGGGTTTTTTCTTTTTTCTTTTTTTTTTCCTTTTTTTTTTTTTTTTTTAGAAGTTCATTGTTAACAGTTTCCTAGAAATAGCCTTTCCGTCGGTAATAAAATGGCATTGTACAATCCGAAATCCTCGGGATCCCTGACGCCAAAGGTAGCCCTTGCAGGCGCAGCTGGATCCCGAAGGAAACCCCCTCGGTCTCTCGGTGGAGGTACCCATTTCGAGAGGGAAACGTTTAGCGAAGTTTTTGTGTTTGTTTGTTTTTCTTGGCGTGAGAGTTGTCCTTGCGAGAGCTCACACCAACCCCAACCCCATTAGGCTTCATACGAGGCGCAATTACAGTGAGGCCGATCTCAGCGAACGTGAACGAGTGATGGGAGCCAGAATGTGTTGTTAATTAAAATACATATATATATTCCGGAATATGGAAACGTCGCTTTCTTCTTTTTTGAATCATCGTATAAACGTGATGATTGTGTGCGAGTCTATAGTATCTTCTATTCTTTTTTTTTTTTTCCCCTTTCTCTGTTTTATTCCTTCAGAAAGAAAAGGCTGTGAACTATTTCCAAATATCTTTGGGCTTGTCCTTTAAGGAGAACGAAAAGAGCGTTTGCTTATTTCCTGATTAAACTACAAATGCGGCAGGAATGAGCTGAAAGAGAAATGTGCAGCCCAAATAGCGAGGCTGAGGGCAGAATCGGCGACCAGGTTACACGCAAAAATCTCATCATACCAGATACACACTTCTGTATCCAGAGAAATATAGAAATACAATAGAGGAAGGGCTGCGGTTTCGGGCGAAGCTGGGAGTACAGTCAATGCGGTCCTCAAGCTCAGAAATAACACCTTGGAAGAAATGGCCAGCGTGCTATTTTGTTTATTTTATAAGCTTTCATATTTAGGAAAGGGCATAATGTCATCAGTATGTTGTGTGTGCCCCCCCCCGCCGCCCACCCTCGGTCAAAAAAAATCCAGGGAATTTGAGCTCTCAGCCCAGACGCCGACTCTTTCTATGAAAATATGGCACATAGAAATCTGGGCAACGTGACAGTTGCATTATTAAAAGAAGAAAAGACACAATATCGTAGCCAAATTTTTGTCCTTAAATAAAAAGTATTCTTCAATCTTCATGCAATATAACAGCGTGGCATAAAATGTACAATCTGCACGTTTAAGGACACCCTAAAAAATGCTGAAATCGAGTAAATTAAAAGAATTTTACTAAAAGCTTCCCGGGTTCCCGCCTGTTTTAAAAATAAGATATTTCTCGCACTACCTTTGTTACCGAAGGCATCTGCAAAATATCTAGCCTCTCTCGTACCTCTCTCCCATCCCCCTCCCATAATGAGACACAAACACAGCAAATTGCAACTATGAGAATCCTCAGCGCAGACGAGACAAAAAATAATCATATCACCAGTAATAAGGTTTAGGAAGATAAGGCAATGAAAATTAAGCCCTGCTGCCACGTCTGGTAACCTCAAGTTTTTATCCCTGACATTTGCTAGAGGAGAAAACTGTAATGTCCACCTATGCTTTATTACAAACAGTAATTTACATCTGCATGGACCCATTGGTTGAGGGTTTTTTTTTTCCTCCCTCGTTCGGAAAAATATGGGGCTCTGAGAGCAAAACCTTTATATTAATGTAGATTGTATATCTCATTTATTGCACAATATTGATTTATTTATTAATGTTAATTACTTGATTCCATTTTAATATGATTTAAAACAAGAGTGACATTAAATGCCCAGAGCCTAAGTCCCCAGTTCCCCAGTGGCTCTCGCATGTTTATTCAACTTCTATTTACATCAAACTTAAACTTTCCTACTGTTCATTTTCAATAAAAAAAAATAATGCTGCCCGTTTTTAAAAAAACCCTCATGATTTATCATGAGCGAAGGGTCTCGCGGAGCTGTTTGCCAGTGCTGAATACGATATTTAAATCATTATCATCACAGCCATCATTTGAGTTTCCGTGTCGTGACACGCAAGAAATTCATATTTTCAATTTAAAAGAATCAAAGAGCCCTCATGTCTAATCAGGAGCCGAGGAGTGAGCTTCCCTAGCACCAGCGAGGCTGGCGTGGAAAGCAGCTCAGCATTTGCTTATTGTTTTAACTTTACTGTTGGGCGAAAGCTGCTGCAAACCTCTGGGCTGAGACTTCAGCCGGGATATTTCTGGGACCCCCTTTTCTTAAAGTGTAAATAAAGATTATGAAAGAGCCATTTGATGGGCATAAAATTCCTGATTAGATTTAACAGTCAAGCCTTAAACTGCGTCAAGGAAAATAGTATTTTGTTGCTTTAAACTCTGTGGGTTGTCTGGGCTGTTGTTGAAGAAGAGGAAATTGCTAGAAAGCGAAGGGGGGGAACGCCGGGGCTCGGAGGGAGCGTCGGGGGCTCCGCCGCGGCTTCTCTCCCGGCGCAGGCAAATCTTAGCAATGGCTCTGATCATGATCTTAAATAGCCATCTCGCCGAAGCGCCCGGTCCTCCGCTCAGCCCCCGGTGGCGGTGAAGCGTGCCCGGGGAGGGCAGGGGGGCTGCGCCAGGCGCAAGGGGATGCTGCGAAAAAGATCTGGAAAGCAGCGAATATTAGCAAGGTAATATTTAAACTCTCCGGCAAGCCAGAAGCTGGAGACTGCGGCTATAAAAGAGACCGGCTCTTAACCTGACAATGATGTTGTATTTGAACAGCTGCGATAAGGTTTTAAAAGGTCTGTCTCATTGCCACAGCGAAATTTTAAATAGGGTTATTGTTTCCAGCAGTGTAAAGTGTACGGTAAAGTGCAAAACATCCAAATGCCAGGAAACAGGGGAAAATTCAAATCCACGCCGGTGGAAAACGCATGTTTTCGGCTGTGCGAAAGATGCATTTAAATTTTTTAAAATCCTTTCACGTGCTGCCTGCTCTTGGGGATCTGAAAGGGTGTTTTGATGGTAGAAAGGCCCAAAATAAACAGGCGGATGAATCCGAAACAAAAATTATCAACAAGTTCACTTTGTCTGCATGAGAGTCCTTGACAGCATTCGTCCCAGAAAAGAAATACTCCACGGTGAAAACAGTTAAAAAAAAAAAAAAAAGAAAGAAAAGAAAAGACAAGAAAAAAAGAAAAAGAAAGGAAAAAAAGGAAAGAAAAGGAAAGGAAAAAGAGTAATAAACAGTTTCTACCATCACTTTTTTAAATGTAATAGCTTCGGGTGTAAATATGGGTACGAAGAGGGGGGGGACAGTAAAACACGTTTAAAATGTTGGGGCGGAAAAATCTGATTTGCCATGTAGACAGTTACTGTTGCCTTCGGTATTTTTTTTATATATATATAATACAGGAGCATTTATCTTCAAAAAAAAAAAAGAAAGAAAGAAAAAGTTGCTGGAAGAGTTGCAGTGAGAATATGAGTTTCTGTATGTTTTTTAATGAGCAATACTACAGAAGGAGAAATTATCTTTATGATGCTTTCAGTTTCCAGGGAAAGTGAAAACCCCACTTTTTTTTTTTTTTTTTTTTCCCAGGCGGTCGGGAGAGAGCATTGTAAAATAATTTTAGGAATGCAGCCTCCCTATAAAACTCGAGTTATGACAAAAGTCTAGCTTTTAATATTTGACGATTTGTGTTAAAACAAAAATTGACCTTCTCGGTTAGCAGCGAGGGAAAAAAATCAATAGTATAATTTTCAATAATTCATAACGCGAACGCCATTATGCTAAATCTTAACTATTAATCTTATCCTTTACAAAGTCTCGATTGATTTGTTAATAAAATATCTTCCCGTGCGCGGCAACAGAGGGTATAACTCTTGAAAAAGCTTCAGAAGCAAGAAAATTACCAAGTAGCCCAAGAATGTAGATGAGGCTTTTATTGATCGCCCCTGATTCTCCTTAATACGCCTTAATAAATCCCGCAACCTTTTGTCCCCGCACTTGTCAGAAGCGGGGGCTTTCACAGCAGCCACGGCGGGCAGGCGCGTGTTTTTTTCCGCCCCGGGTGGGGTGGGGGGGTTGCGGGGGGTTTCCGCGCCCGCGGAGGGCTCCGCGGCGGAGGAGGAATGGCGGGGGG